AGACAAAAATTTACATAGAAATAACTGACGAATCAGGAATACCCACTTTATTCTGGGGGAAACTCTTCCTTTCACCTCTCTTAGGGCTCAACAGGAAAAATCCACCTTCATTCACCTGGAAGCAAAAAAAACTATGACTAATCAGTCTTTAACAAGAGAAATGAATAAAACTTACTACAACTTCATCCATCGTCATGTTCTCGTCAATATAATAACCATCATTCTGAAAATTCATCGACTTAGGCTACCAGCTCAAGAACTCGCTTTATGTCATGCGTAATCTACAGACTACTTGAAAACCATCCTTTAGAGGCAGTCGGCACGTTGCTGGAGGTGGACGGTTGTTGCCAGCGATTGGTGGAAGGGTGCTGGAGGTGGACGGTTGTTGCCAGCGTCGTTGGTGGAAGGGTTACGAGAGGGCGTCAGGCCACACCTCAGTCGGCCCTTCCACCAGTGACGCTGGCGAAACCGCCCACACCCTGCAATTGTACCCACTGCCTTCGAACTGCATCGGCGGTTCGGAAGCAGTGGGCACAATCTCACTCATCTGCATTCCCCTGCCCACATGAGCTACAGTAACCTCGCACATTCGAACTTTTCGCCCTGGTGTTTCACCCACTCCTGAGCCATTCACTTGAAACGTCCACCCTGGGTTCACCTTCCGTACCTTTGCACCCTTCCACACCCAGTTAGCTGCTGCCTTTATCTGTCTACGCTTTTATCATCTCAAACTAGACCACACTTTGCAGTCACGTGACGATGGAACGTGCGGAATGCGCGCGGAAATTTTTCTATTCAAAAATTGATCGGCTGTCACTCACCGCTTCTCTGGCCTTCTTCATCAGCCGTTTCACCGGGAATGTCATACATCCCAACATTCGCATACGCCTGAAAATGTGCACATATGGGGAAGTATTGACTGTTCGAATTGCTCAGAACCCTTTCAAGTCTAGTATTTTTGGACTGTCTCCTGATAAGCAGAGCTGTTGTCAGTAGTGACGAGGACCCAAATAGACTAGACTTATTCTGGACTGATGAACGTACTGTTGATGACTGTCCGCTTTCAATTTGTAGACGCTTATCGTTAGCAGATCACGGAAGTAATTGTCATCATCGATATAACTGAAACAGAAGAATTTCTAAAGTGCTACTGAAACCGCTGTTGCTCAGTCTGTCAGTCAGTCAGTCTCATCAGTCTTCGAACAATTTCAAGTTCTTCTTTGCTCGCAACTGCTCGGTAGGACTGACAACTTTTGGATGTATGAGATCACCGCGCGATGCCGCGCAACTCTGAGCGTCCGCGGCAATCGATCCAGCTAAACGTAGGAACACAGTTCAGTAGAAAGAGCAAGATAGCTTTGGTGTGTATGAATGCGAGAGGGAGCGAAATGGTAGCGCTAAATCGATTGCTGTGGACGCCGAATGTCAATATGTGCGCAACTTCGAGAAGTGACCCCTACTATACACCTGCAGCACAGTTCTATCCAGCCCGTTAAGCTAAAGATAATAACTTCTGGAATTACTGCGTAAATTTTGCGGTAGCTTGGGTACAAAATCCGAAGGTCTTACCATAGCTCTAATGAACGAACAAGGGCTAGCGAAAGAACCTGACGACTGAAACGCCGAAAGGGGTTCACAACAAGTACTGCCAGTGAATCCACTAATATATTAGTCGATGTTACTGCTACAATCTTATAAATAGTTATCCGTTTTCAATGTGGTCGTAACGAAGATACCACCAGTTCCCCAGTCAACAATCAAACATGCTATTCTGGTAGACGGCGAAATCCAAACACAAAGGGTATCCCCAGAGAGATCCAAAGGACCACTACGGCTCCCCTTTGTCAGAAACGCCTCAAAAATCTTACAATGTGAACTTCTCATTGAATGCTGGTCGATTCGTAGCCATCCAATTACGAGTTTTATACGATTGAATTTTCTCACGATAATGTCGCTTACGACTATTTCCACATCGTCGTCTCATCTCAACCTATAAAATCACCTGAATTGTCTTTCAATTTCTAGGAACAATGGGTGCATTTGACTTGAATGCGGTTGTGGAATTTCAAAGTGGCTACTGCTTGGAAGGTGTGAAGGCGCTTGCGATTGGTTATTGACGGCAATCAACCAATAGCAAGCGTCACACGCATGGGGCACGAACATCGCAAAACCCAACAGTCATCCGAGTAAAATGAGACTTGTTCTCACCCGAACATACGAAGAAATCTGTGGTTGATATGGATCTTGAAAATATACGCCCTCGCTTATCATAACATTCAGTTGATTGCCACACAGTGTCATGCACAAGAATAAAATTCCTGAAAAAATTCTAGTCCACAAAAAAAATCAATATTGAATTTTCGTTGCAGGTAAATTGAGTTATAGGTGAGGCCAGCTGTTTTGACCACAACTTGGAGAACAGACAACCGATGTAGAATTTGGAAAATATGGGTGTGTGGCGATTCTATCGTCGATGATAAGTAGGTCGCCGCGCTGGTGGGCGCCGCGTACGAGTCCTGCTGCGTCGTGCTCGTTGAAATTGTTAAAATGATCATCAAGCCATATTGTTTATGTTAATCCTGTACTGCTTGTCCCATTTTCCTATGATGATTGTTCAAAAAAATTACTGATCCAATTTTGGGCTTTTCGGAACTTGTGAATACGCGGTCTTCGAGACTCATTTGTATGTCGGTAATGCAACTCCGGAATTGTCGCACCGCGCCGCCGCGCGAGACGCCGCGACGCGATGTGCGCGACGTGACCTGACTTGCCGACGATAGAATCGCCCGGGTCCCGGAAAATATATCCGAAAATGGGCAGAACCTGCAAAACAAATTGAGCTGCCCCAGCCACTTCAGAAATTTAGCTTTTTGGGAGCAATATGGAAGCATTTGAGTTTAACAGTTTGAATAGTGGCTGCTTTAGAATACAGAAAATGTGGATCATGAGCAAAACAATGTTCTTCCTGCTGCTAGCTCCCGTTTACTGGCATCAATCGCCCATCAAAATTTTAGTCAGTCCCACTGCTTATAGAAGGGATCCGAACAAGCAGATAACTTACTCCTCGGACATTTTCGCGTAAGAAATTTGTAAGGTAAGGGCCTTAAGGCGCGATGTCACTCAAGCGACTCCGCCCGCGTTCCTAGCCGTCGTGTCTGTCGTCTCACTCGTTTGCATGCTCGCTCGCTGCTTTTGACTGATCCCTTGCCATCGACTCTTACCACTCGCTTGGAGGGTGGAGGGCCTATAAGGGGCGCTTCTGACGATTCTCCCGGTCTTTCCTCTAATGGCAAGTGAACTGGCCTATGCCCTTCTGATTTGCAGCCCCGATAATTAAGAATTCTTCAACTCCTTATCGCGAAATCTGCCTTTAAGTACAGCCTGTACATAGTGGCAGGTCGAAACTCTAAGGGGTGCAACACAGCAAGTGATGAAAGCCATGCAGCTGAAATACCTTCACTGCCGACATTTTTCGCGACTCCAGTCGGCAATCCAAAGTTTTCCGGACGATAAAACGTTGGTTTCACATTCTCAACCTGAGAGCGCGATGATGTTGGGAATTCACATGAATCCTGCAGAAAAAAGGGCATTACTAGCATAAAGTAGAAAAGTGAGCGGTACAAAAACAACAACAAGTACATACTTCACCATAATAGCTGCTCGGTCGTGAGGCTCCTTCAATAATCTGATTATAACTGTACATGGGAATACGACCGGCTACAGACATGCGTGGAGTAGAACTGACAAATTTTGGGACATGATGTGGATTCGTCTTTGGCAACGAGGATATAAAAGGCTGAATATTTGAATAATTATTTTTACAAATAAAGGAAAAGCACTACAACTGAAGAACATGATCGAAGTTCGCGCGCGCGTTTTTCGCACCAACCTGAAAGGATGTGGTAGTTGACGTTTGCTGTGGTCGCCAGTCTCGTTGCAGCCTGAGGGAAGGTACATCCGGTGGTTCGTCAATAGAATCGCCAATAACTGGTGACAATTCCTAAAACACCCAAATTTTTTTCACTATTCTTGGGTAAATCCCCTAATGACGTACTTGGGGTATAGCAAAAACGGGTGGTACACGATGCTTCGTAGCTTTCTGTACAGGAGTGTACAAATCGGACAAATCATCCTCTTCATTTGTAGATTCCAATAAAGACGAGAAATTCGATGGGATTGTCGATAATGAACTGCTATCTGTTGGCTTCAGATGTCCCCTTGAAGGCATGCCGTACTGCGACTTTCGCAACATCCTTAAAGAATTTCATCAGTTGCTTCCAACAGGATACCACGCCCTACTCCATTTCAGAAAACCTACATTTAGGACTCAGGGCGCATAGGGGTCTCCTCGTGGGACTCAAAATATGGGTATTCCAAAGAGTCATTTATTAGCCCAAGGTGCCAATTCATCTCCTCTCGCGTCAGTTTATTTTGTTTCCCTCGAAACGGTTGTGTAGGGTCAGTAATTTATTGATACCAGTAAATTACATTAACAAGTAGATCTTGTCACTTATTTGATAATAAGTGCGACCTAATAAATATCAACATACGGAGGCTATAACACCGATAGCCTCTCAACCTCACACCATTTTAGTAAGAACGCCCACCCAGTGGCTGACCGCTAAGTGGCTGTTTCCCAGGGCTTATGTCAGCTAGGGTTATCATAAAGCTTTTACTGCTCTGCGATATGACCTATTTTTGATAGGAATGATTGTCATAACAGTAAAGGGTCTTTACCTCTTATCCCTAGCCCATCGATCGTCCGTTCTCGCTTTAGGAAGTTGAAATCGTGGCAGAGAGGGCGAGTTGTCAGAACTACTATCAGAATCCGTCTCTGAAACTAATACCATCATCAACTAAAATGACAACAAGAAGTTACCTGTGAAATGGGATGTAAAGAAAAATCATTGAAAATGAAAATAATGGACTACGTTGTAAAATCTAAATCTGTATAAAGGACATTAACCCACCTGAGTATGAATAGCGGTCATCATCGTATTTCTTTCCATAGCGCTGAAAGGCCTCAGGTCGGGCCATTACAGAAATGAAACTGAAACTGTTACTATGAGAAGGGTACAGTAATCGAAAAAGAGGTGAGCATGAACACGGTAGAATAGACCTGAACGTATACAATAAGCACGTCCAATCAATCAACATATCAAGTGGGTCAGTAAGCGTGAGTGTGCGGGTGGGACATGCCATTCACTTCACGGTGGGTGGTCCGTTGCTACTTTAGCCTAGCTTTAGTAGAAGTAAAGTAGTTCAGTAAGGAAAACCTTGGTAGAGCAGAGACTGAGGTAAAACAAATCACATAGCAGACTGGACAGTCGCACTGGACAAAACTGGAGAGAGGAATGCGAGAAGATGGCACCGAAGGCTTTTTTGACGGCGACGAGTGAACGGAGAGCAGAGGAGAGGTGCTGATTGAAGAAGAACTGCTGGTATCACTGTACCATTCGATGAGTTACAAAGTAATACGAGAATCAGACCAGTAAGTGGAGTAAGGTGGTATGTTGCGTAATGATTTCGATTATCCTTGGCGATAATCCTTTCAACACTTGCCAACGGCGCTGATCGATGAGATTGAGATGTTGCCATAAAGGCGATAGTCTTGACATTTATTTCGCTTTTATGAACCACTGGTTGATAATGATTTATTGTCCATAGTCATTAGGGACCCTTTGAACGGCCCGATATCGATTTTGATCCATTATCGATTTCTGCCGGATCACAACAGATCGCATAAAGTTTCATTTGTTAGTAGTTCGAAATAATACTGTAAGGAAGGAAAAAGTAGTAGAGTTCGTATCTGCTAACTGCAAGGGTTCGGAACGATAAGATCCTCAGAACAGCCATTGAGAAAACCTAAATAAAAATCCATGGAGTGGGAACAATCCATAAAATTAGGAAGAACACAAAATACAAGAGAATGAAGGACGGGGAACCGAAGGATGGGATTGAGTAAAGGGAGCTAAGGACCAATCAATAAAAATTAGTCTAGCAAATTTGAATTTATCAAATTGTCAATCGCTGGCCAGTCCAATGGCCTTGCAGCGAAGCGATCAAAAACTGACCACACAAGAAATTCGCGACCAACACAGCGATAACACAGAGACTAATAACCCGTGAGTGTGAAAATGCCTGGAAAATTTGGGAAAATCTCAAGAAGTTGAACTACAGTAGTTTTCACATTAACGGCTACATTCAGACAACTCATTTACGTCAGGAACACACAAGTTTATTCCCATGACTTACAATCAATCGCTTCACCTCTTCTCAAGCGTATAAATGAATTCATTTTGTAACAAATATTAACACATGGCGGACCGCCGCCCTTCGAAGATCTCCGCATCATTTCATCTTTTCATATCGCTCAACAACATTTTTATCGATTTTTTATTCTTTTTTCGTGTGAAATATGAGTGTGTTCTTTGTTCGAAAACGTGTTTTTATAGCTCTAGAGCTCGAAATAGTTGCCATATATACCAAACGAAACAGCTCGGAGAGAAAAATGTATGTTACACCACCTGTATCAGGTTTCCGCAACGTGTGAATAATGACTCCTCTTCGTGGTTACTAGTAACACGAAGTGACATTCGTATACGAATGACAACAATTTGTAAACTCATGTACTCGCAGCAAATGTAGCCACTGGACACGCCCGAACGCACTTTGTTTTCATGAGGATGCTAACCATTCATTTTTTCACTGCAGGTATGGAAAAATTTAAAAATCGCGAGGGTAACTAGGAACTGAAGAATCGCATAATGCAATAAGTGCAGATCAAGGGGATATAATAATGTTGGAAGATGAATTGATAGATTTGAAGAACATAGCATTTCTAAAAACATTGAATCAGAGTAATTATCTATGGAAGTAGAATTTCACAAAATTTCAAGGGATATTTGTCTTAACATATGAAAAAGTCCGGAAAAGTTCCATTGAAAGCCTCCAAAAAAGGAGAGAGAGAAAACGAAGTCTAACGAAAATCCAAGAAAGTTTCGTAAGCAGTAAAACTGCGGCAACTGCAGGACCGTTATAGAACGTCGGTAAAAATCAACAAAAATCCAGCAAAAAAATTCACAAAAAACCTCTTTCAGGCCAAATATTGGGTTGGCACATAAGTAATGGCGTTTTTTCAATTGAAAATTTTGTTCCAAAAGTGAAATGTTTTGCAAGCAAGCTTGATATCTGATAGGAAACTTCTCGTAGTATAAGAATATCAAAACAGCTTCGGTTGAGGGAATAATTTTTGTGAATTTTTTAGTCGTTGAAGTTGAAAGTGAAGTCGGCGAAAATTAGCACCTTCGACAACTGCCTCTATTTACGTCTACTCGAAGTGCTAAAATCGCTTAAGCTGCTCCATACATTTGGAAAAGGTTGAGCTAGAAGTCAAGGGAATCTCAATAGGACGCTTTGGAACTAATTTCAAGAATTTCAAAGTTGGCAACCTTCACCTCGCCGATATTGGGCAGGCTCACGTCTGTTCCACCTGAAATTTTATGCTAATAGTTGAATGTTTTGCTGATATGTTTTGCATGATTGCGATGGAAATCTGTTCTTCCAGAGCTGTTTACTTTCTGTTAATTTCAGGTTATCATTACGGAACGTGAGGTCGATGAGAATTAGCGTTCCCGATTTCCACGAATTTTATGCTAATAGTTGAATGTTTCGCTAATGTGTTTTGTATGCTCTGATAGCAAATTTCGTGCTCTATAACACTGCGGTGCAGTTATTTTGAAAATCCGTTTGATTTCCTTGTTTTTCAGGTTGGTAATATGGAATGTATGGATTTTTACCGAGAAGGCATTGAACAGCTGGCTGATCGGTGGGAGGAGGTTGTAAGAAACAATGGGGAATATATCATTGACTAGTTTATTGTAAATATCTATATTTTTTATAGTGTTGTAAATACTGTGTTTGAAATTTACTAAGGAAAAAAAAATCGTGAGGTATGGGTCGACCGGATGTCTGCAAGGTCAACGTTGTCGGTTGTGCTTTTTTCCAGAATCAATTGTGAGCCGTCCTAATACTAATCTGTTACTCTATGCCTTACTCAAACCATGGCGATTCTATTGAGCTGCTCTAGGAGCTTTGAAGCTTCCGTGGACAGCGGTAGGGAGAGGAAGTCGGGAACGCTAATTCTCATCGACCTCACGTTCCGTAATGATAACCTGAAATTAACAGAAAGTAAACAGCTCTGGAGAACAGATTTCCATTGCAGTGTTATAGAGCACGAAATTTGCTATCAGAATATGCAAAACATATCAGTGCAGCATTCAACTTTTAGCATAAAATTTCAGGTGGAACAGACGTGAGCCTGCCCAATATCGGCGAGGTGAAGGTTGCCAACTTTGAAATTCTTGAAATTAGTTCTAAAGCGTCCTATTGAGATTCCCTTGCTGAAACTTCTACCTCAACCTTTTCCAAATGTATGGAGCAGCTTAAGCGATTTTAGCACTTCGAGTAGACGTAAATAGAGGCAGTTGTCGAAGGTGCTGAATTTTCGCCGACGACTTCACTTCAAACGATGAAACCACAGCAAAATTATTCTTCAACCTCGGAGCTGTTTGACTATTCTTATCTACGTAAAGTTTCTATCAGATGATGACGATTGCCTGCAAAACATTTCACTTTTGAAACAAAATTTTCAATTGAAAAAAACGCCATTACTTATGTGCCAACCCAGTACATGTGATCTCTCTATAGAGACCAAAGATGTCCCCAATGTGGATGAAAAGAACACCTTTTAGTAGAAACTAGAAATAAAAGAACTGTTCTCTATTCAGATATGAAGGCATATAGTGGTGCCGAGAGCAACAATGAGTGCCATATATAATCAGATTACTGGATAACTTCTAATGGAGAAGCGCAACGCTTGAATAGGGGGAAAATATCGAATACAATTGTCTCAAAGGGAGACCGAATATTTCGAAATTCCGAAAATAAACAATCGAAGCCTCGGTGAAATGGAAGCCTCCTGCTTCCTTCTTAAAATCTTACATTGGTCTCCTTGTGAGAAAAAAAAAGACAAAAAGACATTGAGAGAAGAAGAAGAAGAAGAAGAAGAAGAAGAAGAAGAAATCAGAAGAGAAAGAAAGAGGTGTAGGAGCGAACAATAGTTGATGTCCCGAAGTTCATGCCATTGAGAAGAGAATGTAGAAGAAGATATTGATTCTATCATTGCTATCAACTTAAGATAGATTTCTAAAACCGTCCTCCGAGTAGCAATTAAGTATTCATCAAATGACAATTACCAGTCACGGCTATTCGAAAACCCGTCCAATTTGAATAATCGGTGGTGACGGTTCACCGTGGGTCCCTACTGGGTGAATTACTCGAAGAAACTTGTTCAAGAAACGTATACTCAATTGAACATTTAAATGTACAACACGATCGAATGTTCAGTTTTTTGAATTCATGTTCATCTGTTGCCCACAGATAACAAGATCCAAAGGAAAACAAGAAATGTAAAAAAAAATTAGTAAAAAGAATTTTTGGGCGAATATTCGGTACTTTAAAGTGGAGAGTAGAGGTGGCAAAGCAATTGGAGAATAACTGCAGAACAACTCAGTGAAGACCATATGAAAAATCAATTGAAATAGGATTTTCTATAAACTCGAAGATCACAGTTTCAAATAATCTATGCAAACCAGTGAATCCATGGTATGAATGACGTGGAAATCTAATACACCGATTATCAGCTAGATTCGGGGCATAATTCACATTATTAAGCATCCATTAAAGTGACTAGTGTTAAAGCCGTAGGGTATGGTCGTAATAACGCGTAGAATTACACGGATCTCCAGCAGATCGTGTGAGGAAATGTGGGCACCTTGGCATCTGTGGATCTAATTGCGAAGCTAGATACGTAGCAATCGATTTTATGAATTTTTAGAAAAAACACGCAGTAATGTTGCTGAAGTATTAGGTTGTCCGGAAAGTTCTCAGCGTTTTGTGTTACTATTTTTTGTACATTCATTGCTGATTAAAAACTCATTCTCCCTTGCGTCTCAGTAGTACATCCTGAAGAGAAT